TCAAGCCGCTGAAAAAAATAAGTTTCCTCGGGCAGGGAGGCTGCAGAATTTAAGCAGAACACTTGCAAATACAGCAGGATTACAATTCATGGGGATCTCTTTCAAATATACAAAACCAGAATGTATGTGCACTGAGGGTTTTTTTTTCCCCCTAGCAAGATTCACTTGTCTTCAAAAGCAATATAGTGGTTCAGGCATCAGGCTAAAAACCAGGAGGCGGTGAGTTCTAATCCTGCCTCGAGCACAAAACAGCTGGGTGACTTTGGGGCAGTCGTTCTCTCTCAGTCTTAGGAAGGAGGCCAGGGCAAGCCACTTCTGAAACCTTGCCAAGCAAACTGCAGGAACTAGTCCACACAGTCACGAGTCAAAAACTGACTCGAAGGCACACACCAGATTAAATAAATTAAAGCAGAGCGACAGTCAATAGGTTCTTCCCAGTGCTAGGAGTTCATAGAATGAATAACAGCCAGTCATCATAGTAGGAAAGGTAAGTGAGGCAGTATCTGAACTGTAGACTAAGCCCCACTCCTGGGAAAGGTGAGGAAGAGGTTTAACAGCCAGGCACAGAGAAGAACCTCCATTCAGAACCTTCATGCAAGCGTACTGTGGCAGTAGACTCATGTTGCCTCTGCCTTTTCTGTCTGCCTGTTTAACAGTGGAAGAGACTACACTCATATTTGATAGCATCCTTTGAAGTGCCCCAATATTTATCTATAGCTATCACACATGTTCCTTTGTGACGAATGGATAGACAGATAGATGGATCACATTGCAGAACGTATTGATCAATTTTGCAAGAGTTCCCCATTCATTCATCTACATCACCCTTTTCTGTGCCATGCTAGGCACAACAAATGAAGAGCAGGCTTTTCTGCTGCCGACCTATTCATGTAGGCTAGAGGTTGACACATACGCAGATCTGGAGAACCCTAGCCCAGTAGAGCAGCCGTCCCCATACCACACTTTCTACATTCAGAGCTCTCCTCATACTTGACTTGCCAGTCTTAAATGCTAGAAGTGATAGGGAGTGAGGCAGGTGAGGGCAATCTAAACAATAAAGTAAAATAAACAAACATGTTTGCAAATTGCTAAACAATTACACACACACACACACACACACACACACCCTAGAGAGAGACATGAAAGGGTACCCAAGAGTCTTTGGCACCACCCATAGCTCTCATGGAAAGCAGATGAGTTATCTCACAGTTTCAAACTCAACAGGCTATCACAGTAACCACTCAATTTTTTTTAACGTGATCATTAAGTGTTTGGCTCAGTGACAGTTTAATTTTTCCCATCGGTGCAGTTTCTATAAGATGCAGCCTGAGTACAATGCATAATAAGGCTTTACACTTTTCATAGCAAATAGTCCTGGGTAGAATCTCTGTTTTCGTTCCTAAGCAAGAACCAGTCACAGATATTTGCTTAGCTTCCAGATCCCAGAATGGGTCATAGGGGAGGGGGCATAAGCCAAGGGATATGGAGCGGAATGACCACATTAACTTCTTTGAAAAGTCAGCTTTATCCAGCACAAGAGCATTCGAGAGACCAAGCTCAATTAATTCAAAGATGGCTTTTCTTCTTCTTTTTCTAGAAACAGAATGACATTTTAATAAGCAGGCTCAGGTAGCTTGTGAGAATTGATCCATATCTCTAGAATTAGAAAAGGGCTGTGCCACTGGGATGTATAAAACGTGCACTTCTTAATAGGTTTGTGCATAGGAATTGAATACCAGGATGGCTTGCTACCCCTCTTGCCCATGTTCTGTGGGTGATAAGGAAGAAGCAATTATTGCAGAAGCTTAGAACAATTGGCAAGCTGAAACAGCCCTGAAATGGATATTTTAAATCACCAGGACACCAGTGGCAGGCCCAGCCTGGGAAATGTGGCCACAGAGCCCAAGCAGCTTGCTCTCTATACCACTGGAGAAGCCCCAGGACTAAGGAAACAGTTGATCTAATTAGGTCTTACTGAACTGCCACACCAGTTTCAGAATGTCTTGAAGGTGTATCTCAATGGGATAGGTAAGTTGAGGTAGGCAGGTCTTCCTTCAACCAGATACACTTTAGATATTTCAGACAACAGCTCTCTACTTGGCAATTATAAGAATCGTAGTTTAATGCATCCAGACCATGGAGGGCACCAAGTAAGAGAAAGCTGATTTTGAGGGACTTCAAGCTTAGTTCTCAACACCAAGAAACTCATCAGCCACAGGCAATTCTCCACTAACCTCTGAAACCTAGATCCTGTGCCTTCCTTGGGATAATGCTATCTACTTCTTGTCCTCTGGAATCACCTTTCGGGCTTGTTCTCCGGGAAAACATTGCCTGTCTGAATGCTTTCTCTGGTACTTGTGATGGACTACAGAACACAGCAGGTTCTCAGGAAGGAGGGAGCACATTCCAGGAAGGGAGGGGGGGTGAGACAAGAGACAACACAGTCCAGAGCTGGATTGTGGGAAGAAGAAGAGATTTAGGATAGCCATTCCTTAGAATATCCCGGGGTATATCCACTAGATTAGAATAATACAGATTCAGTCTGGCAAAATTCTGTCTATATGGTGTAAGCAATAAAAGAACTGAACTTGGCTGGACTGTTTCTCTGTTGTTCTTGGGCTGGACCTGACAGTACTTGACTTATTAATCCATTTAGAAGTTACTTACCCTCTCAATAACTTTGGGCAGTTTACAAGATACAGAAAAACTTAGTTTATATTAGCACTATGCACTATACTACTCCATACTTTTTTATCTTTGCAAACCATCCTTGTTTCCAGCATATCCATCACTGCTTCATGCATTGCCTTTTCTTCTTTAAACTTCTCACCTCCTTCTTTATGAGTGAGAAACAGCAGCAATAAATTGGGGGGGGGGGGACCTAGAGCTTGGAGACAATATTGCTTATCCAACAACCTCCATATTGCTTATCTGCTCCCATAGGGTGTACAGGATGTTGTCTCATTTATTGAAATAAAATCCAAGGGACAGTTCAGCTAGTTTCTATGCGTGGCAGGTGGAGAGAAGAGACACCACTTTCACCTTCATTCCAAGAAGGAAAATGGTCCAGGGTAGATGCTGAAAAGTCTTTTCTGAGTCTACTCATATCCTGGAAATCAGATGTGCATTGGTGTTGATGACATATGGGACCCAGAAATGGTTCCCCCTGCCACTTCTGGCTGTTCCTCAAAACCATCGCATCAACAGTTGCATCAGTAACGAGGATAATTGTCTCATGAATTCAGCCAATGAGTCTTAAGAAACATACAAATGTAGGCAAGCAATCCATTTATTAAAGCTGAATAATTAAATTATTGCCAGACCTGGTTATCTATGTATATTGGGTATCCATACAAAGAACTTTCTAAGGAAGCAAAATCAGGCTTTGTTCACATAACATGCTAAACCAGTGATGGCGAACCTTTTGGGCTCAGCTTGTCAAAAATTCAGAAAATGCCTAACTTGACTCCACTGGCATGTCACACGCACACAACCCCCCTGAATAAAAGAGAAACAATTCACTTTTTTAAAAAAAATAAAGTCCAGTCATGTGTGGTGCTATGCATTATATAAAGAAACGTCAAATAATTACGAAAATGAAATACAACAAACTCAGTTTCTTTGGTAACTCAAACAGGGAGAACAGTTGTTGTCAGGTGTTGGTGAATACTGGTGTGTCACCCAAAATGTTGTGGCAGGTCACCTTTGACGCGTATGTCATAGGTTTGCCATCACTGTGCTAAACCAAGATGTTCAACGTGATTTACTGAATAAATCTCAATTGGCTACATTTGCAGAGCATGCTAAAGTAGGAATCAGGATTATAAGCCAAAATAGCTGGGTTCATAACTGTGTAAAATCCAAATCATATTTAGCATGATGAGTGAACCCGAGCTTACTCTAAAATGAAGTATGAAAGGATATAATCCCAGAAAAAAGAATCACATTATTCATCAGGAACTGAAAGACTTGAAAATTGACCAATAATAATAAAAGCAAAATTGCTAGCAACACCTCTATTTTTTCTGATCCTGGCCAAACATCAGCTAGTGTCCACATGGTCATTTGTCAAGTAGCAAAGGCTAATCTGAAAACATTTCCTCTCCTACTTCTGTCAACAAGACCTTTCAACCTCTATTGCATTTTTGCAAATCAGAACTGCATTCATCATTCTGAAACAGTTCTATTAAAAAAAAACCTTTCATAATCATTTCCTTGTCCTGTAAATTAAAGAACTTCTATAAAGCTAGGGGAAATGAATCGAAGGTAATGAACTTCCAAAAGCTGTAATTCACCAGGTTGCTTCCATGAAACAAAACCGTAGATAATTATTTCTGAAGCTATTTTATGGTATCTTCTTTTTTCAATATTTAATAAAAACAATTCTAAAATGTAGATAATTATTGAGCCTTGCCCCAGTGCAAGACTGAACATGACATGGTCTTTTCCTGCCAAATTACCCGATAAAAACCAATAGTCTGCAACATTGCAACAAAACTCTGGTTGTCCTTTCTGGAATGTACCTTACATTGAATTCCATTTAACCAAGCAGCAGCAGCTGCTGAACAGACATCTGTTCCTGAAGCAACTGTCCTTCATATAGATTTTTCACACAAGGAGTTGAACCAATGCCTACTTTCATACTGAGTGCTGAGCTAGTTATTTAACCATGGTTCTTGAACAGACTGGGCCCCCATAGCATGTTAAGCCATAAACCGCAATGGCTAGGTTCACACAGCACACTGAACCACAATCAAACCACACAACTGTTTTGTGGAATGTGTTAATCAGATCCATATCTTTCTCTTTCCCAAAGCACAGCTTCAAGGAGTCTCTCAAAAGTGTAACAAAGCAATGAGCTTTTCTCAACAGCAATGAAAATGGACAAGGTATTTGGACTCAGACCACAGTTTTACTGGATGCAGTTTACAATATTCAGGTGTGTGGTACTTAAGATCTAGATTGAGTAGAATAAGAGCCAAATGAAACAAATGACTTACGGAACTGTTTCAGGTCATCCCTGCTTTCTGATTCAGGCATGGCAGTGATGGTAAGAAGAGGGCATGGATTTCCTGCTAGAGTGTGACAGAGGGTCTGCCTCCTGAAGAAGACTTTCTTTCTATTCCTGGTTTGCTCCAAGACGTCAAGGTGGGACTGCAAAAATGGAAACACAAAAATGCAATAATTTACAAAAAGTCCTGCTGGATAAAACCATCTAGCCCAACACCTTGTAGAGTATAGGTATAAAACTGGAAGCCCCAAGGCCATGGGCAGACTTCCCATTAAAGTCAATGCCATAAGATACTGGAGGACAACTTCCTTCTCTCTCATCATCATCAGGTGTGAACTCTGATTTTAGCATTATGAGAACAAGAAGCAAGAAAATGAACTTAAATAATGGGAACATGTCATAAACAATTATTCAAGCCATTTTCCTATTTAAAGGTCTCCTGACTGCTTGCTGATAAATCATGAAGTGCAGCTATGAAACCAAATGTAAAGGTCTTTTGATCAGAAGTGATGTAACTACAGATCCCAATCCTCCCTTTGTGGGGCATCCTTCTGGGATAGCCAAGTCACCTAAATCAAGTCTTCACTACCAGCCTTCCCTAACCTTATACAGATGCTATAGTTACCAGAATCTTCTAACTAGCCTCCTACCATCTTAGTAGGCATGCTTCAACTAGATTATCTACATTTTAGCATTACAAACTTAGGTTGGCAAGCCCAACTAGCTGCTGAGCATCAGAAGTTGCAGCAAGAAGGACAACGTATGCTTATGACTTCTCTTATCACCCAATCGTCACAGGTTCTGCTGCAGAGAAGCAACACAAATGATGCTAGAACAACTGGCACATCACATTACAATGTGGGGGTTGTAATCATAGCCATTACCCTTATCTCTGGCGTCTTCTGCCTACGCTAAAACCTAGGCTGAGATTCACTTAAACTATCTATTCACCTTGCTGCAAGAGTGAAAAGATAAATGCTTTTATTATTAGTCCTATTCCTCCTGGTCATCATCTGGTTCTACTTCTGACTTTCTTTCAGTGCACCTCCTGACCCTAACCAAATTGCAGAGAGAATTGCAGAGAAAATGTTTCTGCATTTAGGAGATCCTGGGTTTGGTCCCTGCCATCTTCAGTATGAAAAACCAGGGGAAAAAAATTCTGTTTGAAATACTTGGTGTTGCCAGTCATAGTCAAAAATATCAGATTAGCCTGAACCAAAGATCTATCTTAATATAAGACCACCTCTTATGCACTGTTGTGTTTTGAATGAAAAGCTGGAGTTTTCAGTTTGGCTGTGCTTGCACGGGCAAACAATGCAAAGAAGAACATATCAATAGCTATTTGTTGTTATCACCTTGAAGAAAACACAATTGGTTCTGACTCAAAGAAATGCTAGCATTTAATACCAGTCTTTCATGAGGTTTCTTCTCAGTGTGCTGTAAATATGTCTGCAGTTATTAAATGCATATTAGATTGTGAACAGGGTTTCCAAGTCAGTTTCCCTACAGTATTTTATTGCCTTTCCAAATGCCTAGTGCTCCTGGGTTGCAAAACCACTTAGAATTCATTACCACTCTGAAGATAGAGAGGGGGAGATGCACCCATGACACCTACACACACACACACACGTTTGTACAGACTGATGCTGAAAAAGAAAACCTAGGGATGCACATATGTGAAGTGTGTTTTTCATTTGGGGTGCATGGGAATCATGCAGTCTGTAAAAATGAAATTGTTTTCCCAGGATTTTTTTTTTTTTTTTTTAAACTGCTTTGTAGTTGTAATGAAAATCTGCGAGTTATTTAAGTGACCCGGTCAAATTTATCTCTACAAAGATGTCCAAAGATGAAATTATGATTCAGGCAATGTCAGGAAATGAATGTTTCTCTGTATCTTAGTGCAGCAGAAACTGAACCTTCTATTCGTTTGACGCGTAATGTAAAATTAAGCTAAAGCTATGCCTAACTTCAGAAAGATTTCTCTCCTTCTTTAAAGCAGTGTAAAACAAAAACCTCCTTTATTGTTACTTTTGGGGGCAGTGTTTACACAACAGGTCCTTCTTACTCCTAATAGCTCTTCCTTTTACTGTAACTCTATCTCACCCACTGAATACCCATATAGCCAAATCTTGCTGAGTAAAACAGACATTATCTCACACACTGCATACTCTTGATTGGTTGGGCAGTCTATCAAGGAGCATCCTCCTGACTCTCAACTGGTTTAATCTCTCTCTTCCCATGACATTATTAGAGCTTTTGTTAGATGGGTACTAATATTATTCGAATTAATGAGCTGTATTTCTTTAGGGCTTCAGACCAGAGTTCTCTCTTAATCCTCCCTGTAAATTCTGGGACCCAATCTGTATTCTGAACACACAGATTCCACATTGACCACCTCTTCAACTGACCACCCAGCTACAACTGCACTCTAAATATGTTATCTGACCCTGGAAACAATTATATACTCTAGAAGGAAGGCCCCAATTTTACATAAGCCTCCCAATCTTGCAAGCGGTGATAGAAATATTAAAATTCTGCTAAAAATTACTTGCCCACAACTGATGGCAACACTTAGCTGACCCTGGTTGATCTCAAAAAGGCAAGAAAAGCAGGACCTGATTTTGATTAGATGGGAGACCACTAGGAAATCTTAGGGCTATAGATTAGACTTGGAAAGCAAAACAAGGAGAAGGCCGATAACAAACCACTTAAATATTGTTGCCCTCAAAACTATATGGAAATGCTCATGAAATTACCAACAACTGAACTCAACTTGAGACCTTCCATTTACAGACTAGTTAGAACACCACTAGCTATACATTCCATAGCTATGTTTGCATGACAAATTAAGCCAAAATGCTGGGTTAATGAGCATGTGCTGGTTAACCATGGGTTTTGACCAACTGTGTCATGAGTCCTTCCCTTCAAACTCTGGAAAAGCAGCATTACCATCATGGTAGAGTAGGTGTATGGATAATGGTAGGCCAGGTAGCAAACATCTTCCTTGTGAGGGAAAACGAGGCTGAAGGTGAGTGTATACAATGACTTCCCATGGGGACCTCCTGCTGCCGCTGCTGCTGCTGGACAGTTTCTGTAGTGGTTTCTGAAGGGAAAAGGAAGAGAAACAGTGGCTTTCATGGCTGCCTTCAAAACCAAGAAAGTAAGATTTAAAAAGAGGGTACAGTGTACAAGCTTTGGGGAAAAATATCGGAAGTGTTCATTTTTGTTATTTTTCCAGTAAGGTAGCCAGGCCACAGAATTACTTCTGGTAGTGCAGAAAGGTGAGGATTTGCCCACACTCACCCATGGCAGACAAAATGATAGGGTGGGACTGGTGGGAAGGGAATCTCCTCTCACACCCTCTACCCATTGAGTCAAATTCTACTCTCAAGGCTGCCTTATTCTGGATGCAGGCAGACACATGCAAAGAAAAGCAGAGGAGTTTAGCAGCGATCGAGACCCATGTCCAAAGCATGCAGAGAAATTCAGTCCATGAGGTCAGTGGAATTTGGTTTCTCTCTTCCATATTGTGCCCCTTTCTGCTTTGGGAATCATTCTCAGCCCCATAATGGCAACTGGCTTTTGACTAAGATTGACTCCAATTTGGAGGGGTCCTGTTCAGGAAGTGGCCTCAGAGTGTCCTTTCCTACATCCATCCTCCAGGTTTGTGCCTTGTAGAAAGTCAGTAGAGTTTTTTTTTTTTTTTCCTGATCCTTTTTTAAAGGTTGGTATAACTGATGGGAACAATAGCATTCTGGAGGCCACTATTCAGGGTCTCTACAATCCCCTGGGACATTGTTAGCCATAAATATTATGGAAATTTTGTGGCATCAGCCACAAAAAGGTCTTCATGGCCTTCTATCAGCCATTAACATTTTGGTTTTTTATTTCCTGCAACAATCCAGATAGACTGAATATCCAGATTATTATGGGGAAAAGAAGATGATGGCAATCTCTTCCATGGCTTATTTAGGCACAGCAGCTGGACACCTTCTCACTGAGATAATTTTTTTTCCATTTTGTCCCATTAGCCATATATTCTTCAGTGCCATGGAAATTTACCTTGGCAGGTAGCTTTTCACCTCCACTCATTGCTATAAAGTGGGCCCTGATGAAGTTTCTGAAGGATGTAGCAGGTTCTGTAAGGGGCTGAAGTGAGTGAGGTGGGAACACCCGAGTCTCACATGAGGCAGAACTGTCTGTGATACAAGGGATAAGTGGACAAGAGTTTCAAGAAAAGAATAGACCAAACTGAAGTGGCTTGAAAAGGTGGTAGGTCCAGATCTGAACCTTGAAACAAGCAAAGGTATGCAACAGGTTTCTTGTGAGCTGTTATATGCAGAACCTATTCATACGTATGGCTTCCTAATTCTATGCAATAAAATTACTTATTTAACTTTCTAATAAAGATTTGGTTTGATATTTAACTTCCTTGTAACTTCTTGAGAAGAAAGAGCTGGGAGAGAGGGAAGTTTATCCCCGAGCTTGGTGAAAAATGACAGGTTCCTTCTCAGCCCAGAATGGACTAAAATATCTCAGCTATTTCAGTGAAGAGAATACTGTAGAGCAGAACACAGATTGTCTCTGAATATCTATGCCTCCCGCACTTCCTTTCTCAGTTGAGTTCTTTTTGTTTCCACTTACTCACAGACAGAAAAGAATTATACCAAGATTTTCTTTCTACAACAACTTTTTCTTTCTCCCCTTTTGGCATTTTTTTTTTTTTTTAATAGTCACAGTTTCAAGGCTGATGGTGAAAGATTTCCCATTAGGTGTGATGAAGAGCTAATTCACGCATTTCAAAGAGACAGTATCGTAGCAAATTGCATTCCCGAGTACATTCTAGACAATAATTTCCCCCACCTAGCACCAATTATTCCACTGCTGAAATGTCCTGCTCTGAAGTGCCCTGTGATTCTCTCCCTTCCACTTTTTGATTGATACTGTTCCCAGTGCTACATTAAAATGCAAAAAAAATGCAAGAGACACTATTTAAATTGCCAATATATATATGTCATTGATTTTTCAGGTGGATGGTGGTTTTGTTTTATGCGAGGAGTTGGGGGTAAATTTCTAAATAATTATGTGGACACACACATACACATACATACATACATACATACATACATACAAGGGATTCGGAATAATTCTGATTTTCCTTGAAAAGACATTAGTAAGAATCTCTCAGCACAAATTCATTTTTGGAAGCGATACCTCTTAAAGCTTTTGCCAGTCCCAAACCCAAAATGCAGCGGTTGCTGATTATGTTGACAAATGTCTTCCACATGCACAAAAGCCTCCCCCACTGTCTAACACAGGCAATAAGAAACAAACAAGCTAGTTCTAGGAATGAACATATCAAGCCAGTCTGTCTGTCTGTCTGTCTGTCTCTTCAAGTCAATTTTTGACACCTAGCGACTACCTGGACAAGTCCCTGCAGTTTTCTTGGCAAGGTTTTCAGAAGTGGTTTGCCACTGCCTTCTTCTTCCTAGGGCTGACAGAGAGCAACTGGGCCAAGGTCACCCAGCTGGCTTTGTGCCCAGAATGAGACTAGAACTCACGGTCTCCTGGTTTCTAGCCTGGTGCCTTAACCACTACACCAAACTGTCTCTCCAAGCCAGTCTAACTAATGTTAAGGACTTGCAATGCAGTCCTGTGCCCTCTTCCTAAAAGATCCACTGGGCTATTTTCTGGTAACCAGGACTACATGGTTTATTGATTGATTAAGGTTGCCAAGTCCCTCACTTGGCAGCACAGGGATTAAATGGCATCACTTGAAGAAGCAGAGCAAGGAATGCTGGAATATTCTATCACTACCACCCATCACTTTTTATTTTCTGGGTTTAAGCTTAGCCAAGGCTTAACACACCAGGGTTTTTTCCCCCTCTGAAAATTTCTGGGATTATCATTTGATATAGGACAGTAAGTCCTTGCCCTAGGATCCCTGAATTCTCTTTCTGCTCAGCAGAAATTTGATCTCCTGTCCTATTCTAATGACATCCCTCAAATTGGTCACCCTCAAAGTGAACAGCAAATGGCCATGAATCCCCATGAAGGCTGGGGATGATGGGGGATGTAATGCCACACTTGTGAAGGGGAAAACGGTAACAAGACAGAGTCTGTGTGAGAAATACAATATACACACAGAAACCCACAGACACAACACTGCCTGATTTGATGGCTGCAAATTGCTGACCTCGGCTGAATTTACCTCCATCCTTGGCCAAAAAAAAAAAAAAAATCAAGAATCTGGGATCACATTTGCTGACTAACCAATGTTATTAAAAGGCATAAGCTTTCATGAGCTTTTAATAGCATTTGTCAGTTGGAAAAGATCTACCAAATTCTTGATTACTGGCTATCACAGACTGACATGTTCTTCTCCTACAACATCTTCCAACCTTGGAAACCCTCCCCTCTGAGAAAAAAAGTGGTTAGAAAGAAGATAGTCATACAAATAGCCATGCAATTAATATGCAAATGCAGGGCAAAGGGCTACAGAATCACTTTATAATTGTCAAAGCCCAAAGTTAGCTCTTTTTTCCTTCAAACGTTCCATCCTCCTCCTATCCCAGCTGGCATTACCTGGTAATTAATAATCATCATAATTATTATTGTTGCTATTATCACTTACTGTGCAGATTGTTTTTCATGTTCAAAGTGCTTTACAGACATTATCAAATTACTCCTCCATCTCCCTTCCTCAGCTAAATTAGCCAAACCAGAAGCAAAGAGATTGTTGCTATTTCAAGCAAGAACTCAGCTGAAAGCAACTCAGCCCTGTTCTTAGATGGACCATTGCAGGTGGCAACTCCTAGCTAACCTTGGCTGACCTGGAAAAAGCTAAGCAAAATCAGACTTCATATTTAGGTGGGAGGCCACGTGAAAACCTTCCTGTATGAAAGTCAGTTTTGTCTAAGATGAGCCCTGTTGAAATGGTATGTGGGAAGGACCTTGAGAGACAGGAGGAAGAGCCACAGCCTAGACAACCATCATGCAAAAGATATCTCAGCCCACAGAAGAAAAGGGGATGTGGGAAGCATCACCGAAGGGACCCTCCCTAGTTTCCTGGAAAGTAAAAGTAAAGGAGGGGGAAAATGCTTTCAGATTGGCAAGATTTTTTTACTGCAACCTTACAATAAAGGTAGGGTTAGTATTCATGGTTTGTGCTTCTTGTCTGAACTACCTCAAAGGTCTGACACCTGTAGAAGCTATAACATATTTCTTCTTATACGCTAATTTTATAAGGATATCCAAGCAC